TCGAGTGATTCAGGTTAACACTGTTCTGAAAGCCTTCTATGATCGCTATCGCTTACAACACACCAGTCAGAATGAACTTCGTCGAGGTTCTCGATCGATCGCGTCCCACTACCAAGCTCGAAATGGCCAGGTTACCGGAGTAAGTATTCGAATCATAGTAATTGTACACGACATTTTTATCATGGCAATGTTTCCTTGGAAATTAATCCAATGATGGAGCAGAAAAGCTGAACGTTATTGCTAGGTAACTTGGTGACAAGGAATAACAAATTATGAAAGTATAAGGAAATGCTATGGTTATTTGAGCTAAAGTTGCACGGATAGCAGTTGGTAGTTTATTTTTGAAGATATTGGCTCATACTCCTGCACAGCTCACGATAATTTTAGGGTACCTAGTTAAAAAAGAATAATGGAAGTGGAAGCCAGGAAATGCGAAAACTGACGGATTCAGAAAAAATATAAGGCTAAAAAGTAATAAAGTAGGGAGTTGAACAAAAATGTGACGAAGAAAATTGCATGGAAGGAGTATTCGGACAAGTTGTCCAATTGTATGTACCATTGTACAGTGTACTAGTGTACATCTGATCGGTACGAACCTCTACAACCTGTAGAACGGTAAACTCGTACACTTTTGGGTGGTACGTCGGCTGAGTGGTATTTCGGCTCCTATTACGCCCTATTTGGACTTTTTTCCACCCGACAGTGTCTCTTGTGGGTCACAGGGAGGAAACCTAGGGAGGAATTTTAGAAAACATTTTTATCGCAAACTGTGCCTCTGTGAGAATGCAGCTTGTCTTTTCAATTGAGTATTGACTCCCTCAACGGACAATAAAGTAAAATAGGATAAGTAAAAATAAATAAATAAATATAAATTAATAAATAAATAGTTATAGGATAAGTAAAAATAGGAGTGAAGAGCACCTCTCCAACCGTCATGTTCACAGTGAAACTGATGATCAGAATAAAAATGGAAATTCAGGTGACATTGATTCTGGATAACAACAACGGCGCATCTCTGTCACCATATACCCCTCGGTCGAAGAAAGGCAGTGAAGACTCAACAGCCAAACTGATGCTAAGCGTGTCGGTTCGTTGGATTTTACTAAAAGGCTCAATGTTTCTTGCGGGTGAAAATAACCCCTAAAACATGCACGCTGGCAGATTCCTGCTTCTCTTGAGGGGCTTTAGCAGCTTTCTGAAATCCTCCTTTTTTAGCAATGTGGTGACGAACTTGTAAATAATAATGGTTACGGTGCAGCCAGCGAAAGGACTCCATTAAAGACACAATGCGACTGTTCGACAGAGCTAAGGTGAGCCCGAGCTTATTTTGTTACGGCGGATGATACCTAACTGAAAAGTCCTATTTTTGAAAAAAAACCATTGAACCTTGATTACTTTTCTTGCTGTATTTTGTGATGGCAAAAGTTGCTTCATTTTGATGCTCAAATTTTGTCTCAGGTTCTACGGGTCCCTCAGACAGAAGGGAACCAATATTGAATATCCAATAAACCGAACAAAGTTCCACTTTCAGGACGATGTCGATTCTTAATGGGCAACACGTTGCTTAGCATTCATCCGGTACTACTTACTATAGCTATGGATACTATCAAATCCTGAAGCCGACATTTTTCTATGAGATCTTGCGTGCAACAAATAATGATTCGCTGTGTATAGATATTTTGTAGGAGATATTGCTTGAAAAGAGATTGTTGAGAACTTCCTCTCATCTAGTTTTTGCCCAGTTTTTTTGGCAAAGGTGAAACCGTTACGGGTCGCGTTTTTTGTTCTTTTTGCATAGAACGTTATGTTTAAGCTTCACTGTGACTGTCGATTGAATTTCTTCGTGTATGTTGTTCATTTATTGTTTCCCGGACTGCTTTGCTCAGCCATCCAAGAAACTGGCTCAGATTTACTGAACTGAACTTGGATCTGAGAGGAAATGCGTATTGATCAAAATGAAACATGGATTGAGCACATCGTACTTGTTACCGGCTACAATTCCAAGGTCTTCCCTCCGAACGATTTCAGGTTGATTTTACTTTTGGTCATCTAAATAGATCACTTCAATGATCAGGCCATGACCGTCAGGTGAGAGGCCTCGGCCTATATGGCGTGGGGTGGTATTCTTACACCACTGCAGTTCGTTGAAGGACGAATATCATATTTATTTCTTTTTTTTGAATAATAATGGCTACGTTTTGCTTCAATATCCACTCCATCTTGTGTCGGAAATATCATCCTCGACGTTGCTCCACAGCTACTCTTGTTCAATTTAGTAGATTGCTACAGATTTCCTGCACCTTAATGAACTCCATACAAGCATCTACTGCTGGCTATTTGTTGTTGTTTTTCGTGTGTGTGTTTATTTCTAACTCAAGTCACTGTGATTGCATCTTGCATGGGTCATGGGGAGAGGAAATTTACTTTTAAAACAGATCGCCTCGTAGTTACGCACACTCGTATGATCGATGGCCTCGCTGTTCTGCCATTCTCAGATGAACACATATTGGTTCATCGACTGTGCAATCGCATATCAATCGCACATTTCACAATAACGGGATGAAATGTAATTATTCGAAATTGCTTTATTATAACATATTCATAGAAGTATGTAGCCTTATCATTGGCGTACATACTAGGACAACTCTACAATATTTTGGAAGAATCGAGAAAGATCTCCCTTTCTTGAGTAGTCGGTCTGCAGGGCCTTTAGGAGAGCAAGTTTTCCACATTACGAAAAAAATTTGCTTCTTTATCGGTACTATGCTTTTCACGCCTTACAGCATTGCGCACTTTATGTAAGCAAGTGTCCTCTATGTTTTTTTTTNTTTTTTTTTCTTTATATCTCAGATTGTAACGAAATTCTCTAATTCATAGAGCCGGTATCAGTTTAACCGGGTCTGGCAAAGTGATCAGCAGCCAATCAATTTAGCGAGCTCACTCCACGGACGGAGCAGTCAGGCCACGAACTGAGTTTAGAAGTAAACAGCGAACCCTACTTCCAGACAGGCAATGAACGATTGAGCTCTCAACTACAAATGCCATTAGATGCTTGAATCTTTGAGAACGGTGTTGCTACACCTCAACACCTTGTTGTTCATCGCTAACTGCTCGATTTATGGAAGCAGTTAGGTGTCTCACCCAAATGTGCAAGCTCGACTTCAGCTACTTTCCTTCTATATGTTCCCATGTATAAAAATCTTTGAGCAGTTTCCGATTACCTAGGTGATCTCGAGCTTTTCTCTCTGTGGGTATTATTGTTCCAAGAGCGCAGCAGTTTCGCTAGTAGCCGGGCTTTTAGTGAATGGCTTTGTTATCCTGCACAACCTGGTGACAGTGACTCTACCAAATCCGTTCATAGTTGATCGGATTTGCGAAAGACTGTTGTGTCCTGCTGAAAGCGAGCAGGTTGACAGTGACGATTGTGAGCACGTCTGAAGAAGGAGTAGAAAGCAGTGCTTTCGTACTGACAATGCTCAAGAATGTCCCTTTCTCTGTTATTTATTCGTAGCCGTAACGCTTGAATCCCCGGCAACGTTGTTCTTGTTAAAGCAATTTTTCAAGAGTTCAGCAGTCCTCTTATATGGTGTGCCATGAGCTTGTGAACTTTCAAGCATTGAGGAATCTGATTTGATTAAATCGTTTATCCGTCAAAAATAGGTTCAGCAGAAAGAGACCAGGGCACGATGAACACTTCCAATTACAAGAAATTTTATTGTTACATCAAATGAAATACAAAGAATTATCATTTGTATAGAATTCCAACCTGCTATTCGTATAGCCACCCGTGTGCATTCAAGGAAGATGCAGAAAATGTACAATGGTAAAGTGAACGGTACAAATACAGATAATTTTCTCTCGGATGTAAGCCAAAGAGGAAGAAGAGCACCACTCTTGTCATTCCGAGGTGATTTGGGTGTGAAGAACCAGTGAAGGCGCGATCAGACGTCGTCCGGCTTCAAGTTGATGCGTCTCGCCGAGTATGTCCTCCGAGCTTGCTGGGCACCACCACCAGCGCCATTGCAGCAACGAGAAAATGCTGAACAATCTCTTTTGACAACGTTGAGATAGCCTTCATCATTGTCATCATACGTAGGCGGGTTTCAAGTGTTTACAATCGAAATAGCTACATCACTCTCAGGGTGTCGGAATTTCCAACATCCCTCGATTCTCTCCCCTGCCGCCTACTCTGGACTATGCCATACTTCCCTCGGCACTCGGGAATCTGGTCTTGTGCGGGTCTACTCGGGGCATGTTCTCGACGATCCAAAGCAGCCACTGTTACCCTTTCTCCCTGACTATTATATCTGCAACCGTCTTAGTGAGCTATGACTATGAGTCGTCAGCGTGGACAATGGTTTTCGCTGGGCTATCTATGAAACCCTTCATTAATGAACTCAAAGTCCAAGAAGGGGCCTCACCTGCGCTGTTGTAGCTCCTGTGTAGTGGCCTCGAGTTCTTTTCGCGGGACGTCTTATTCAGTTGAACGGTGATGGCCATGCTGCGCAGCTTTTCGGGGAAGAGCTGGGAGTATTCGTAGTTCTCCCGTGAACATTGTATCATGGGCATCCAGCGGAACACGTAGCGGAAGCCGATCCGGAATCTGCAAGTCATTCTTCAGCCAACATAGTAAGTTGCGCGGGAATCTACTATTGGTCACCTACCTCTCATTTGCAAAACAGTATATTACAGGATTATAGGCGCTGCTGCTCATTGCAATCCAGTAGATACAAAGATAAATGTATTTTCCGATATTTGGATTCTCAAACTCCATAGATGACTGCAAAAATGCGCTCAATTGTATATAAGCCCTTCATGATCTAGAGAATCAGTTTTTTCGCAATAAGCCCATAAATGGATTGATCGCATGTTTCCAACGCCTCTCAGCTCTCAGGCGAAGTGAGAAGAGGGAGCAAAGGTCATAAGAGAACTACTGGGTTTCCTCCTAAACGCTCGAAGAGTCCCTATGATCGTGTAGCTTACCTTGCAGCAACACTTTAGCTCCGACAATTTATTATTTATACAACATTGTAGAGGCTGATATGTTTGTCAACTTACGTTCAACTCAAATGTATGGTAAAGGTGGTACGGTAGCCAACAGAACATAAAAGTGATAACCATCAACGATAGCATTTTGACTGCCTGAAAAACTATGGATAAGTGATTTTCAGGAGCAAATACTTGATTTTACGTAGGAACTGATCTTTGACTATGATGTATTTGAAGATAGTTATTTATAATCGAGGAGATTCCGCCAGCCAGTGCAAATTCGTCGAAACAAACCTCCATTGTAGTCGAATTCTTTAGGAATGTGTTGACCTGCTGGTCAAATGAACAAGTATCTCCCCAAGTACCGTAACTTGGTTCTGTTTGTAACGGTGAGGAGGACTTGGCCAGTCTCCCTACATGGCATGCGTGTGACATATGAAACAAAGGGCAGAGGCCTTTCCAATTCACAAACGTCTCACTGCTAAGCTTGCAATGTCCTTTAACAGTAATTAGGTGTTTCCGTTTACGAGAAGAGTCTGATATTTACTGAGTGAAATGGTTTCGTACCCTTCCACGGATTCGGGGTGATTTCGATTTCGATCAGTCCTGATTTTCTTTTTCCTTTTTTTACCCTTTTTTCTTGTGTAGATCCCAGACATGAGGCAGAAGCTCAGGTAAGAGCATGATTTTGTTTGACAGAAACACTTACTGCTTCCAAAGAAGAAAGAGATCTTTCTCAAATAGCGCTGAAATCTGGAGAACGATCGTAAGTTAGCACATGATATTTGGTTTATTCAATAAAATGTTTATTAAGATATTTACATTTTGTTTAGTTGTAGTGTAGAAGAACGTCAGAAAAAAATGGAAAAATGGAACGAAATTGGTGTTAGAAGGCTCTGAAACCAATTCCGCTCCATTCATGGCATTTGAAGAGGGGCGAAATGGGATCATATCGAAGGCTCCTATAACCATTAGCTTCTTTTTTATAAAATCTGGTGCGGTCGGCCGTTAAGATTCATGGAATACAATTTCAGAGCTCTGCCATAACCATCACCAAATGGCATCAGGTCGTTCCACCAGAATGATCTCACATCATCAATGATTGCTCAGTCTGAATAGAGCGGGATATTTGGACTCTATGGTCCCGTTCCTGATTAAAATAATGCATTTGAACAGCTAGCTCTATGTAGCTAGGATCATTTTTATAATGTACCACTCTACTCTCAGAAAATATTCAAGACGCAGCATTATGCGTAACGAAGTATAAACCCGACTTACATTCGACGGGCATGAAACTTAAACCAATTTTTTTGCATCATTCCAAGAAAGGAGAAGCCATGGTTTGATATTTGATGTAATTCGCTTCTCACCCAGACCCGTAGAATGTCCTGCATGCCCAAATTTAGATGTCACTCCGTCACTGAGATGTCAATGAATGGTTTCCACAGATATGATGATATTCTGTAATGAAATTCCGTGTCTCTAACTTAGCAAGACTTTTTTCTCTTTCGTTTTTTTTCCTCCACTTTTTGCGAGTTAGTCGTATTTATTTCCTTCCGATTGCTTCCATCCAGGAACTATTTTGTAGCGGTCATTCGAAAGGTGAAGGATGAATACGAACGCGACGCGTCATACGGTACATATGTATGAACACTGCATGTAGTCGTGCGTACAGTGTAATTTTTAAGGGTCGTGGGATAGCTGTGAAGACTCCATGAGAATATCATAATTTTCAATAAATGAATCCTTCGTTTCTGGAAGTTTTGAATTCTCAATAAAGCTCCCAATACCCTTACACTACACGACACTACCCGGCTAGATTGATGTTTGCGTGTGTTCAAGTTTTTGCCAATCACTTTCACTCAATCTGGCTGGAATACGATTCTTTTGTGGCACGGAGAATTCACCGTGAATTTTGTTGCCGACCCTTAAACTCGAAGACTCCCAGCCTTGCTGGGAGTCTTCGAGTTTAAGCTCGGGCTCATTCGAGCCCAATACGGCTGGTACGGTACTCGCCGACAACCAAGCGAACCTCAGCACCGTACACCGTACTGCTCGTGTGCTCCGTGTTAATCATTGACAAAAAGGGGTCAAAAACCTCCTTCCTCCCTCAGCCCCCGAGGCAAACTCTTCCCGTCTGCTCCCTCTTACTCAATGAGTTCTGCTAGAGGTACAACAGTAACAGGTACGTTACTGATAATGAGTGGGCCTAATTGGGGGCCTCGGCTCGACGGCCGAGTCCACATACCATATTACTGAACTCAGCCGGAGAGCCGAGGCTCAGCCCCTCGGAACAACTCAACCGAAGACCCAAACTCCCACCGGCCGACAGCTTTGTCGCGATGAAACGCTTCTCGATTAAATTTTGATCCGAGCGTAGTGGGTTGATGTCCATCCACAACGCCTTTTTTGCATCCTCTCTGGGGTGCCCTCTGTACATGTTGTATAGAGCCTTTTTTTGTTTTCCTTGAATAATACTGCCACTGTTCATACATACTGTTCTGCCGAAAATTTAAACCTTAAAATTTCCTGAAAAAAAAAACGGAACAAATTCATTCATCAATTAGTGACACACGAATTAAGACTACCCATTCTATCTTCAATTAAAATTCAGGGATTTTTGCCAAGATGTCAGCATGGAAAAAACGAGAAAACGAAGCCTCCAAGAAGCAATCATCTGTTTGTGCAGTATTAAGTTCATGTCCTATGAACTCATTGTATGATTCATGTACCTCTACTTGTTGTAATAAAAGTTCTCTTATTATGATCTTTGCAGAAAGCTTGTATCATACAAGAAAATAGCGAAAATTGAGTTCATGCAACGAAAAATTGTTGAAAAAAGAGCGGAAGTCCCATGGAAATTGTCATTGATGGGCGCGGTGTTAATGGGTGGTCGATAAGATGACTTTTTGAGCAAATTTTTTGGGATGCTCCCCAGCGATACCTACAACACCGGAGAGAGCTCAAAAGTGTGTTGTTCTATCAACAAATATGGATGTGCAGATATGGTCAAACGATTAGTGGAATATATTACGAGAAATGGAATGAAGGGATCGAGTCCCCAAGTTTTCTGAAACTTCGTAACATAAATTCGAGAGTCTATCTCTTTATCTTGTCTAGAAACCGATGATCGATTTTAATTTTTTGACAAATTGAAAACGGTCCCCTTCCTCCTCCCTTCCCCCCCCCCCCCCCCCCCCGCGAAAATTTCCGAAGAACAGGATTGCGAGCACAGCGAGCTTTCCACCCTCGCCGCAGTGCATTTTCTCTGTGCCCTCCCCGAAAAAGATTGACTGTGAGCAAACGGCACAAAATACGATACTTGTGTTGGTGGAGGCACCGTTATCACAACCTTGGGGAGGCCTAAACCCAGGCCGGAGCCTTAGCCGAAACCTAAGCTTAACCAAAAGTGCGTTAGCAGCATGGAATCATACGATTTCGGTTTTACCTAGTTGAGCCTGGTACGGTAAAGCTGAAAATAGATGGTTGAACAGCTATTATATATTCGAAGGGAAAATTTGGTAATATGTGAAAAATTCAAGCATGGGGAGCGAGGAGCCCGGAAATCTGCAACTGGTGAAGCTGTAATTTGGGGGAAATAACGAACTTCGGTGAAAAAGCCGAAATTTCTAGTGAAGTTTGTGCCCGGCAGATCACGAACTTTGAGGCCCCATCGGGCATAGATTCCTCGACGGTCCGTGGAGATCCGACACTCACGGGGCACTGGCCCGAATTGGGTTGAGGGTGCCGATCAGCCGTCGGCCAGCGGTGAGCCGGTTAGTCCCATTGGGACGCCTGCCGAACCCTCGCATCCAGCGATTTTGGCATTGCTCACCACCGATTTTTAGCGATTCCAGCACTAAATCTGGCTATTGCAAAACCAATCGTAGGCTCATCATCACCGATTTGCGATGTTTTCATCTCAACCCTTGGAATTTTTTACCTAAATACAGGGTATTTCACCCCAGAATAGACTTTTTTGTCTCGAGTTTTAGGCATTTACTACCGGTTTTTGGCTACCTTGTTTGACTTTACCAATTTAACTTTTTCGCAACCTTTTTGGGCTAATTCATCACCAAATTTGACTACTCCCCTACTGATTTCCTAATATATTACCTCGAAATCTGGTGTTTCTATTACAAACAACCTTTTCAAACTATTTTTTGATCATTTTGCGAGTTGGTTCAAGCTTTTTCCTGAAGATTTTAGGTCATCCCGTCACAAATTGGGCTGTTCCTAGAAATTTTCTATATATACGAAACATTTTTCTACAAATCTTTCTACAAATTTTGGCTATTTCTCCACCAAATTCAGCTTCTCCCACACAAATTACACACTTTTCCAACCCACTTCTTTCCTAATTTGCAACTTTTCCATCAATTTTACCTCTTCCTCCTTTTCTTTTCTGACTCTCTTCTCCAAGTTTTGGCTTCTCCAATGATTTCCAACTTTTTTACATAGTTCAAGCTTCTCGGGTTTTTATTTTTTCATCTTTTCCCAGTTTCTTTTTCAAAATTCTGCTTTTCAACGATGTCCATCTTTTTTACTAGGTAGGAATTTTTTAGCCGATTTACAGAAGTGCGTGACTCACTAATGATCTTGTTTCGAATTTATTTTACAGAACTGCCAGCTGTAAGCTTGCTGGCATTGGGCAAGAGCTTCTAAAGAAACAAGGCGGGTCCCTGTAGAAATATTCGGAGAGCATTCTCAAAAGAATGCAAAAAAGCGTTTGGTCTGTCACGTACCAGCTACACTTGGGTCGAAATTGTAGGACCAGCCAAAGTGGGTGGTCGAGTGGGGCTGGTTCTGAGGTGGGCTGAGCCTCGGCTCTCCGGCTGAGTCCAGTAGTATGGTATGTGGACTCGGCCGTCGAGCCGAGGCCCTCAATTGGACCCACTCATTATCAGTAACGTACCTGTTACTGTTGTACCTTTAGCAGAACTCATTGAGTAAGAGGGGGCAGACGGGAAGAGTTTGCCTCGGGGGCTGAGGGAGGAAGGAGGTTTTTGACCCCTTTTTGTCAATGATTAACGCGGAGCACACGAGCAGTACGGTGTACGATGCTGAGGTTCGCCTGGTGGTCGGCGAGTACCGTATCAGCGTATTCGGCTTGAATGAGCGCGAGCTGTCGGGCATCGTTCAAGCCACCTAGGTGGTTCGTCCTTGTCAAACAAGCTGAAGTGAACGGGATAAGTCTAAGCTTATCTTACTCTTCCTTGAGCTTCTCAGAATCGAACCAGTGGAAGAATTTTGCAGGAAAGCATTAGTTCTTAAAGGTGATCTCTTTCTCTTGCAGACGAGAGTCGAGATCCTTATTCACTGCGCTTGCGGGGAATTGCACCCACAACCCGAGCCTTCATAATGTTCGTCGGATTTCATAACGTGTACAAAAGGTTCGCTTGAGAGCAAGCCTTTCAGGACATCGATCCCCCGACCCCCTGGACGTCAGCCCGAATAGTTTCCTTTCGACTACCAAAGTACGACCCCCCTAACGTTCGGGTTGCACTTATTGTTGTCACAACAGTTTTCAATTCAAACAATTTTTTGCCATCCTTTACCTGTAACCCGTTGAATTCATAGTAGTCTTGGGATGGGTCAGCTTGCTAGGTGACCTCTTCGTCATGGAATTTGCAAGGCTGGGAGTCTTTGAGTTTGAGGATCGGCGACAATATTCACGGCGCACAGCGAAGTTTCTTCAACCTCTATGCTTCGTCCCCAGACAACGACACTTCCAGGGGCAGTCCTGCACAGGGCAACCGCAGTCCTTGCATCTACCGCACCCTGGTAGTCTCCTACGATGTTAGCTCTGCCTTTTGCAAGTAAGTTCCAGTCAGTTTGAGTGCGGCGAATCTTCAAAGAGGAGAGGTGGAGGCTGATAAGTGATAAAAGTGATGGCAAAAACATAGACGCCCGCAAAGATTAATCTAG